CCTGCGTTATTGTGCAGGATCGATCAACCAATCAATCGGCTCGACAATCGAAAATCAATCGACTTGAATGGAATTCATCAATATCTAAAAAGCATTTCTGTTAATATGCAAGGTATGAGAAACAAGTTTGAAGACATTATGAAAGAAGCTAAGTTTATTGCAAATAAATGGGGCATAGAAACTAAATTTGAAAAATAAAAGAGAAATAAAGAACCTAAAACACTATCATTGTTAACAAATACGGAATTATTAATAATGTTTCAAAAATACAGAAAACATATAAAAAAGACTTGCACTGGAAGTACAACTTTTATTATTTATAAATACTTTCAGAACAGAAATCTAAAATTTGAAATCCTTTAAGGATCTTTAAGGATTTAGCTAAATTAGCAATGGTAAAATATTATGACATGACAAGCAGTTATTCGGGAGTGTGCAATTCACTTATATTGTATTTATCATTACCTGTAACCACAGCCACGAGTGAGAGGTCATTTTCAATACTGAAAACTAATAAAACATATTTAAGAAACATATATAAGAAACAGCATGACAAGATCGTTGTCAAACCTTTCACTATTGAGCGTTGAAGCTGAGATGGCTGAGAGAAATGGACGTCCAAGTATTGATAAATAATTTTGCGGAAATGAAGGTTAGGAGACGCAAATTTTAAAAGAAGGATTTTTTTTTCTTTATGATGAATTTTGGCCACCAATGTTATCATTACACTTATTGAGGGAGGAAAAAATTAGAGAAGAAAGAACGGACTGAGGAAAATTAAAAGGAAACAAAAAACTTTAGCATTTTTTAGCATTTTTTATAAAATCATGTATTCAAGTAGTTTAGTGTACCAAAAGGTTTTTTAAAAAGACAGAAAAAAAACTTTACCATACATATTTTCTACAAAAATTGTATGTTCAAATAGGTTTCTTTATGAAGTTTATGATAAATATGTTTTATATTTAACAAATGTATCATTTACATTATAAAAGTTCTTATTTATTACTTGTATATTATTGCATAAATCATTTTCGTAAGCTGAGTAAATCACAGAGTATACTTAACACATGTAATAGTTCTGTACGTTTATCAATTATCTTGTCTGTCAGTTTATAATATAACTAATTATTTATAAGTTTGCTAACTTAAGCGAAAAAACTTAGATAGGCGCAGATTTTATATAAAATTTTAAAACATTAGTATGTAAAACTTCTTGGATTTTATATAAAAATCTCCGCAAATCTAGGCTTTCTTCCTTTTCTTAATGCTATACGTCGACATGTTCCTTTTTTTATATAGACTTATTCATTTATTATCAGTATGCATCTCAGTGAAAGGAGAGAAAAATCTGTCTCTCGCACTCACACAAAAAGTAACTGAATTAAAATCATCTGACGTCAAATACCCAGACTAAAGCAAATTTTCATTTCACCAGTTGGTCAAGGGAAATTATTTTCCTTTTTATTCTTTCTTCATGTTACGTACCTTTCAACTGGTTTTCTAAGAACGTGCTTTTATTTGTTAACAATTAATCCAGATGTGATAAAAATCATCATGAAAACATTGGCTCCTGGAATCCTTGATTTTTTTTTTTTTTTAACTTTTCGCGGGTTTTTTTTTTTTTTATTTTTTTTTATTTTTTTTATTTTTATTTATTTATTTATTTATTTTTTAAGCACATTAAATTTATTGGGAAAGGGGCCCAGGAAAATTTTTTGCATAGGGGCCCAAGATTTCTAGTTACGCCACTGATATTTAGTCCTGCAACCAAGCAGCTTTCGCGTGCCGTCCTTATTGGCAATTCGTCGCGAACAAACTTTTCGCTTCCAGTTAGGGATGGATGAAATTTAGTTTCAAGTCCGGCAATCATTGGTATTTAACAGAGGAGAAACATTTGCTCCCCGTGAATTCTTTCCTTCCGGGTGACGTGGGTCGGTTTCCTGAAGGAAATGGGTAAAGCAAACGCGGGGGAGAACATACGATTTTCCCGCAGGCAAGTTGGAAAATCCTGCTATCGAAATGACCTTGCTCGGCTGCAGCCAGCTCAACGTTTTACCCTTAAAACCTCCCTGAAGACAGCCCGCTATAACCCTGCTTGTTAAATTAGAATTTGGCAGGTTTCTCCAACTCCAATCGGAGCCATTATTTGACGAGATTTTAGAGTTCTTTTTTTTCCGTTCCTTATTTTCCGGGTGACATTTTTTCCGTTCCTTATTTTCCGGGGACATTCTTTCCGTTTCCCTTTTTTCCGGGTGACATTTTTTCCGCACACCGAGAAAGCATACATACATTTATGCAGATTCTTTTTTATTTAATTTTTTAAAAAATGGTACAGGGTGAAATTATTTGGTGGCAACAATTTGAAAAATGATACGCCGTTTATAGTGAACCAACGCAATACATGTTATATTAAATTGTAAAAATCATTCACATTAATAAATTCAATTTCAAGCTTAATATTATTCCTGATTTTTGGACTCGGGTTTAATGGAAGTGCTAGTAACAGATTCAATATATGAACAAAATTAAACGCTTCGGAATGACATATTATGCAAATTCGAACTGCAAATAATATACCACGTTTCTCTTAATTTGCAAAGGTCATTCGAAATTAAGTACCAGAATCCTGTTTAGTTACTTCTTTATTTATACTTAGAAAATGTGTCTATTAATTATTCGATCATAATAACAAGTATATAGAAATAAATTAATATACAAAATAATTACATTTATAATAAATAGTTACAATTAATTTTCACTTCCACCCCCCCCCCCCCGTTGAATTGGGATTGCAAAGGGAGAAACCTTTCCTTCAGGGGGGTCGCCTTTAAAAATTTTCCGGTAGAAACTAAGAAATACAAAGGAAATTTTCCTATTTTCTGCTGACTCCTATGCCTGAACTGAGGTAGGTCACGAAGTTACTATTTGATAGTCGAATGATGGAATATTAACTTTTGCAAACACTGAATTTAACTGTTTCATGTGCTTCCAAGGGCCCCTTTTCTGCGTCTTATACGGAACTGCGTCACTGCACCATATAGGCAGAGGGCCCTTAAAAACTTGAAAGAAGACGAATTCTATTATATTAAAATAAGAATTCATAGTAGTAACACACTCTAAAAATAAAAATGAAAAGCGAAAGGGAAAAATATACTTTTAACTTTAAACATGTAAATGTAGTTCAGCAGGACATTTAAGGGCCCTCTAAACCTTCGGGCCCCTATGCAACGGCATTCCTTGCATACCGTTATTTTACGCCATTGCTAAATAGCTTAATAATTTGACAAGCTGTAAAAAGTTAAACAGATCTATTGGCGTAGTATAGTCTGTTATTTTGTATTACGGTTTAACGAATCTGGCAATATTATATTATGCATTCCTTTATTATTTAATCTATGCATTATATGAAATATAATTTTCTAAATACTAACGATTTATTATCAGTTAATTTATAAAACGACAGATATTTTATAGTTTCAACTTTTTTTTCACTTTAACGGTTTATCATTAGTTTTTTTTTTTTTTTTTTTTTTTTTTTTTTTTTTTTTTTTCCCCAAGTCTAAAGAGGCTTTGTTCCTCGAGGACTATTCTTTTCGTTTTGCGATTTTGCGTTGAATCACTATAAACGGCGAATCACTTTTCAAACTGTTGCCACCAAATGTTAGAGTCTTGCATTATATTTGATGAAATTAAATAATGAAAAATCTGCGTAAATGTATGTATATTTCTCGCATTGTGATAAAACAACGGTACATAGAGCCATCGAATTTTGAATCACGTAATCCTACTGCGAAAATGGGCATCTGGATGCCCAAATTTGAAATTTGTTTTATTATCTATTTCATATTTTGTAAAACTTTAACGAATTTTTTATTAACAAACTCAACGATTTAAAAGCGAGGAATGGCAACACTATATGAAAAAAAACATATCTCCAGCGCGCGGAACTGTGTATCGGAAATTCTAAAGATATGCTCATTTTAAAATTAGCCCACCAGCGGCCGAGTGGTAAAGTCGCTGAACACTGGTAGTTCGGTCCGAGGTTCGAATCCGGTGAAAGGGCTGGTTGTATGGGCGTTTTCGTTGTTTTCCCCATGTGTAACGTGTATACGAGCCAGTTTTCCTTAGAAAGTTCTCCACGAAGGCATCCCTCCCTTATAGCCTTAGTGTGCTTTGCCTTATTCTCAATACACCACCACCATCGAACCCAGGTCGTTAAGGTATCGCAGTTGCCCCCCTAACCACTACACCGTCTGGGCGGCATTAATCATTAGTTAGTTTATAGAATATTATATTCTATACTAATTAATATACGTTATTTTAAAATAATTAGCTAAACCGACTTGGCTAGTTTTTTTTTCCCCCCCGTCAAATACTTACTTATTCGAGGAAATAACTGAATTATACGCTTTAACGGTAACATATATTTTACACTATATTTATTTTATATTATGAATTCCTTTCCCCTATATATAAATATAGATACAGGGCATACACGCAATCGAATCGGCTTAATGTATTTTCATTTATAGAATAAAATGCACTTCAGAATGTGAACAGTGGAACTTTTTTTCTGGTGATTATCTTCCTATGATGATCAGTATTGAGAACTGGACATCGTGCTGAAGCATTTCTAATTCGCAAAAAAATCTTATGAACCTGTTCATCTTAGAAAGGGTTTACTCTTCTTTTTACGGCAATTTTTGTAGAAAATTTGTAAAGAATACTTCACCATAAAATAAGTTTCGTAGCGTTACGTTCGAACAATGGCTAGCTCAGAAGGGATTCGTAAGTCATCTACCCGATGAATTAACAGCTATCTTGTCATAAATGGAGTACTTCATTTAAACTTAAGCAAAAAGATTTATTTACACATAAAGACAAGTTAAAAGAATAAAAAATATTTATCTAGCTACAATATCTATCTAGCCACATCATGCAAACATCGTTCTTAGCTAACTAAACCGGAACTGTTCGTTTTCCTCTGGCGTCCCATGACGTCAGTCTCTATCTGGCTTTTGATTCGCTGGCGTAGTGATGCCATTCCCAACATCCTCCCCCCTTTGAGTTGCTGGATAGCTACTCAAAACATTCAAGTCTATCAAGTTCAGTCTAAGTGGCATCTTAACAGTTCTACCAGCTCGTGTCTTTATAGTCTTAGAATCACATACATCGGAAACATCAGTGGGGTCCGGAGATCGGGGTGACCCAGAAATTTCTGAATGATGAGAGGTACTCATGTCGTCTCCACGATGAGAATCTGAAGACTTTACAGCAGATTGATGTTTTTGAGGATCACTTGGATGACATGAACCTGACAAATCATCATCTTGGATTTCTAGGGGAAACACTCGTTGTATCGGACGTACTAAATTGTTAGTTTGCGTTCTTAATCTAACTGTTCTCACTTTACCGTCCTTTCCTGGAATCAGTTCCGTAACCCTGGCTAAAGGCCAATTCAATCTCTTTTTGATATCATCTCCTATCAACACAACGTCATTCACTCGAATATTTGGAAAGTGTGAATTTTGCTGTCGTTTCTGAATAAGTAGTCCTAAATATTCCTTTCGAAAACGTACTCGGAGATCTTCCATTAATTTTGCACGAAATCTGATTCTTTTCCTGAGATGATTGGTGTCTACTGTGTCTATATCAGTTACATCTAAATTGGATCTATCGGTCAGAAACATGGCAGGTGTAAGTGGAACTAAGTCTTCTGTATCTTCGGATAATATGTCAAGGGGTCGCGAATTTACTACCCTTTCACATTCGCACATAACTGTTTCCAGTTCTTCATAGGTAAGAACAGCTCTGCCCAATGTTCTCCTAAGGAGTTCTTTGACTACTCGAACAAGTCTTTCCCACCATCCGCCCCACCAGGCAGCAGTGGGGGGAATGAATTTCCATTCGATCTTCTGTATTTCTGTTTGTCGAGTTATTTTACTCCAATCAATTTCTAAAAAAATTATTATAAGCTCCCCTAAAGTTTGTACCGTTGTCTGTATAAACCACTCTAGGTCTTCCTCTTCTAGCAACAAAACGTCTAAATGATAACAGAAAAGCATCAGTGGAAAGCGATGTTATTAACTCTAAATGAATTGCTCTATAAAGAGCACACGTGTAGAGAACCATCCATACTTTGTCCCCACGTTTTACAAATAGGGGACCTGCCTAAGTCAATACCAACTACTTCGAAAGCTGCAGCATTTTCCACTCTATCAGCAGGTAAGGAAACTGGTTCAGTGATGAGAGATTTAGTTTTGTATCGTCGACATTTAATACAGTCCTTCAGAACACTACGTATCGCTCTTCTTCCTCTTGTAATCCAGTACTTTTCACGCAATATGCTTAGTAATATCTGGGTTCCAGCATGACAGTTTTCTCGGTGAAAATATTCAATCAGTCTTTGAGTAAAGATACATTTATCAGGAAGAAGAATAGGTGAAATGAAGAAAGGCTTATCTATGCGTTCAGTAATTCGAGTTTTAACTCTGATAATTCCGTTCACATCTTTGAAAACACACAAGTTCCGAAAAGAGGTTTCACTAGGAAAAAATTGAGCTTGCACATTACGAATAAGCAGAATTTCAGCATTTTTCAATCTCCTGCGTTAGAAGTTCTCCCCCCCCGTCTAGTATCATGATGCGATCTTACATTACTGATAAATCTCAATATCCATGCAACCATTCTAACTATTGAATGGAAATTTGAGAATTTAATGGCATACCACGGGACTCTCTCTTCCGACAAATTAATATTACATAACCTAACCTTTCTCCTTTCAAGTGTTATTTCGGGTGTTTCCGTTATCAATATTTCGGTGTCAGGCCAGTTGTCTCTTGCTTGCAACAACCATGCCGGGCCTTTCCACCAGCAGGATTCTAACAATTTCTTAGGGGAACACCCTCGCGAAATCAGATCAGCGGGATTCATTTTCCCTGGCACATGTCGCCATTCATTATTAGGAAACAGATTATTTATTTCTTTTACTCTGTTCGAGACAAAAACTGTCCAATCACCACGTTCTTTTAACCAGTATAAAGCTACCCTAGAGTCGCTCCAAAATATTGTTTTAATCTCATGGGCATTTAAAGCCTGCTTCACTGAATATGCCAACCTGGCACCAATGCAGCAAGCCATTAACTCTAACCTAGGGATCGTTACTTTCTTCAAAGGTGCAACTCTGGTTTTTGCTCTAACAAAGTAAATTTTTACCCCTTGAGAGGTTCTCGTTCTAAAAAAAATACAGGTGGCATATGCCTCTTTGCACGCATCTACGAAAACATGCATCTCAGTGGAATCATTTATTTCAACATAACGTGAGATTTCGATATCTCTTAATGCATCTATTTCTCTAAACCATCTTTTAAAAGACATTTGAATACTATCTGGTAAGGGAGTATCCCACTTTAGATTTAAATTCCACGTTTCCTGCAGTAAAAGCTTAGGTGGTAAGATTGCAGGACTCAACAGACCTATTGGATCAAATATTTTGTGAACTGTAGCTAAAATGATTCTCTTAGTAAAATTCTGATCTTCACTTACAAGATTAAAGTTTAAATTACACTTAAGAGTGTCCTTATCAAGATCCCACAAAATTCCCAATACTTTCGTGACACCAGTACTATTAGAAACATACTTACATTTTACATTACTCTCCCAGTTTCTTAAATTAAAGCAACCCCGTGACAAAATATCTTTTGCATTTACAATAAAATCTTCCTGCTCCTCAATATTTGCAACACCAGAAACACAATTATCTACGTAAAAAGAATGTTTCAGTTTTTTGTGCTATAGCATCAAATTCAGATGGTACATTATCTAATAAATGTGTAATTGAGGCTGCTAATAAAAATGGACTCGACTTTAACCCAAATACTACTCTGCGATGTCGGTAAACAATCTGTTCACTCTCGGACGGATAAAAAAACCGCAAGAAATCTCTATGTTGAGGGGCTATACTTAGCATCAGAAATGCTTTCTCAATATCTGAAGATAATCCTATTGGATGAATTCGAAACCTATCAAGTATCTCTGGAATTATTTCTAGTAAGTTCGGACCCTTATACAAAAGGTCATTCAAAGAGCATTTACCACTTTCTTTCTCGGGCTGACGCGTCAAAGACAGGTCTGATTTTTGTAGTGGTACTGTCCTTAATTACTGGCCGATGAGGTAAAAAATGTCCCGTCTCAATATTATCAGTTACCTTTTCAATTATATTCAATTTTTCCCATTCCCGGAAAATCGTAGTATATTCTTCTAAAAATGCTTTATCTTGTGCTCGCTGGCACATCCTTTTATGCCGCTTCCAAGTTAAATCTTTATTTGTCGGCAAATCGGCCACATCAGATTTAAAAGGTAAACAAAGTTCATATCTACCGTCTGAAAGAATTTTCACATTATTTTTAAACTCTTCCAAAACTCTAGAATGTTCTAAATTCTTTCTATTATTTTCAATGGGATCTGAAATACCTATGGATTCTAAAGACCACAAATCTTTTATCGAATAATTACTAACATACAACGAAATTGCATTCAAAACAGTATCATCATTGCTATCTCCAAATGACTCATGCTTCCCAGTTAACACATGTCCCAAACAAGTGTCAATCAAAAATAACCCTGACTCCAACCGAACAGATTTATTAGTAAATAAAGCGCCCACAATATCCGCTCCCAAAAGCAGATCGATCTCACGATCAGAAGAACCCAAATCAGACAAACTGACGCCTCTATCTTTCAGTTCATTAAGAATTTTACTATCGTTCACTTTTGGCACTGTGCCACAAATTTTGCTCTCGGAAAGTGCTTCGATTTGAAAGGAGAAAGTTTCATCTAATGCCGAAATCAACAAATTATAAACATCGTGAATCTGCGTTCGCGTTTCTCTTCCACCGAATAACGAATGCTTCAATTTAATTTGCCTTAATGGTTTTAAATTTAAATTCTCTACTAATTTTTTACTGACACATACGAATGCTGAGAACCTGTATCCAGTAATGTGCGTACTTTAAGCTCAACATTCTTAAATTTAATTTTAACTATTAGAGTCATTAAATAAACATTTTCTATTTTACAGTTATTAGTTAATGTACTGGTTTCAGTTACGTCCCTTTTAGACTTTTCATTTGCGCCTTTTTTTCTTGGCGATTGGGACACATTAAAGAATGGTGATTTTTATTACAGTACATGCAAGAATTTTTTACTCGACATGTTTTAAAAGTGTGTCCAAATCTGAAACATCCAAAACAGGCCCCTCTTTTAATTAATATATTTTTCTTAGCTTCTAATGTCATATTTCTAGCAGAAAAACATTCTTTAGTTGGGTGCCGTTTTTCACAAAAGAGACAGTTAAAATTGCGCTTACCTGGGCTCTCAGAATTTGATGTACTTACTAACGCAGCTGCGGTGGCGAAATCTAAATTTTTATTTAGTGTATCCTTTTTCTTAGAAATATGATTAGAACCAAACCCAGTGCGGGCTAACACGACCATCTCTTCTCCTTTTTCACTTCTTGTTTCAGAAAATTCATCAAATTTTCAAGGCATCGGTCATCAGGCTGAGGTGCTTCTTTTAAATTTCTGTTTCTCTCCCAAGCAATTAATACTTCTTCGGGCAGGCAGGATTCAACTAAAGGCGTTAAGAAATCACCATACTTCTCTTGCGTTCTTCCAAGACTTTCTAAAGCTCTAATCTTGGTTTCTAAATCATCGTAGAGAGTGGGAAGATCCGTCTTCACACGTCCACTGCTTGCATTACGCATAACCATGCTTAGAAGATCTCTGACGTATATCTGTACAAGTAAGTCTTCTCTTCCAAACCTCTCTCGAAGCTGGGCGATTGCTTTCGGATAATTCGACGCCGTTGCCGGAAAGCTCTCCACTACCCGTGCGGCTTTGGACTGAGGAACAACTGCTTGCAGGAGGTACTGGAATTTATCTTCATCTGGAATCGTCGGATCTTCATGGATCTTCGAAAACTGGCTCCAAAACGTCAAAAATTCTTTTGCTTCGCCGTTGAATTTCTTTAGTTCGATCTTCGGCAGTTTAAATTTGCGCTTCTCTGGTAATTCAGTAGGTAAAGGATTCTTCGACAGCTTTTCGATTTGAGAACACAGTTCAAAATATTTATCTCTATAAGGCTCAGACGAAATAAAATCTTCTTCATATAGCTTTTCAGCTTCTTTAGATTGTAGAATTAGCGACGTTACTTCCTTTTGGCAAATTTCAAGTCGATTAAACTTGTCTCTAAGCTGTTGTTCCAGAATCGAAAGTAGCTTCAAATCAGGAATATCTGATTTCAGTTCTGCATCAATTTTGTTTGCACATGTGGTAAAGGAAGTTCTTAGACATTTTCTTTCGGTTTTCAGCTGTGTAAGCTCCATTTTCAATTTATTTTAGCTGTTATCGCGCCCCACGTCTTGGCGCCACAATGTTATGTTACGTAAGGCGTTACGTTCGAACAATGGCTAGCTCAGAAGGGATTCGTAAGTCATCATCTACCCGATGAATTAACAGCTATCTTGTCATAAATGGAGTACTTTCATTTAAACTTAAGCAAAAAGATTTATTTACACATAAAGACAAGTTAAAAGAATATAAAATATTTATCTAGCTACAATATCTATCTAGCCACATCATGCAAACATCGTTCTTAGCTAACTAAACCGGAACTGTTCGTTTTCCTCTGGCGTCCCATGACGTCAGTCTCTATCTGGCTTTTTGATTCGTTGGCGTAGTGATGCCATTCCCAACAATATCCTTAGGAAATGAAGAGTGCACAGAATCTTTCTCTGATTCAACGCTTTCGGTCGTAGACTTTTGCTTTTGCCGTCTCAGAACGCCATTGATGGGACGGCTATTCGGAGCCTGTAGCGAACATTGAAAAAGAACCTCACCTCCTTTATGAAAATTGGAGGTGGTGGTTGAATTTTGGTGTTTGAGTGACAGCCGGCTGCTGCGTCGATTTCAGTTTATCAGAGTTTTGTATGTTTGTGAAAGAATTGGATGTTGTAATGTTTTTCATTATTATTAGTGTTTGGGAAGTGGTTTTTTGCCAATAAAT